GGTAGGATCCTGGAGGGTGTGATTCAGAAACAGATTGAAGTGTGTTATTTTCCTGTGATTTGTTATGAGGGGAGTATGAGCAAAGCCCAGGGGCGAGGGCTCCTCAGGACCCCTGGCACCTCCTTGGCCAAGCCTTGCCCTTGCCTCTGGCCCATCCATCTGTCCAATGGGCACAGGCTGGAGGCATAGTTCATCTAGAGGATTTTGAGATCTATGGATAAAAAGTATGAAGAAAGTGCAAAATTTTTCTTATTATCTTAGAAAGCCAAGAGCCACCTTTCATTTAGCACTTAAGCTCTCCAGTGTGTTTTGGGAAAGACTTTTAAAGATACCTGGGGCCCTGATTCCCAGGGAATAGACCTGTACGGATACTGCCCTCCATAACCGAGCAGTTGTGTAGGCAAATGTCACTGGCACCAAGAGACGTGCCTGTTCTGCTCCTCAGTGCAATATTCATCTTCTCCACTTCTCTGTCCATGGGGGATTTCCCGCCTATTTGCATAGGAATAATCGTGTTTCTTGAGCGCGTGGGTGGTGTGGAGCCGCGACAGCCCATTGCCCAGGGAAGATAATCGGCGATGGCAGCACGGGTGGGTCGGGCTCAGGCGGTTGCTGCAGCGGGCAGGAGGAGCTGAGATGGACGGTCTCTCCCAGCGGTGCTTGAGGCTCAGATCCACAACAGCTGCGGTTCGGGGACTGTAGCAAGATCGTTCAGACCTGTAAACTGGAGCTGCGAGCGCAGACGGGATGTTCTCGTGGGGGTTCGCCAGCGCTGGTGATGGACGGGTGGGAGATGTCTCAGAGGGGTTCACCCCAGCTGCAGTGGGGAGCGGGGAGGCGGGAGGCTGATGGCAGCTGTGCACTGATGAAGCGACGAAGCACAACGCGCCATGGCCAGAGGGACAGCAGGTCTTCCCTGTCCTCTGCGGGAGGACTCCCCAGGGCCTGGCATGAGTCTTCCTTCTCCCTGTGCTGTGGTTCCCGCTCCCTTGGGGCCAGTACCTGGGCTGCTGATCCCACTCGCAGCTCGGGGACGCAGGCACTGCCTGTCACCTGCGCCCAGCGTGAGATCTGCGAGGCTGGATGACACGGCAGAAACGTGCGGGATTGAGGCCACGCTCAGTGCCGGGGGCAGGAGGATGGGAATACATTAGCGGTGCTGTGTCTCTCTTAATCGGGAGGCAGGTGCTGCTGCTCCGTGGTCCGGGAACAGGGTGAGTGATGGAAGCTGCTGCAGGAGCGCACCCTGAGCGGTGAGGGAGGATGGGGCTAGGGATGTTTGAAAGGTATCCATAGCCGGGAGAGGAGGGTGGTATTTAGGGTGGTGTAGCAGTGAGGAGATGTTGCAGAACAGACAAATCGAGAAGATACCTGAGGGGACCCCCGTGGGGGGAACTCCCTGAGCAATGCCCAGCCTCAGAGCTGGCAAAGCCAGGCGGCATAGCCCGCCGGAGGGGTGATATGGGGAGGGAGGATGCCCTGATCTCCTCCAGCTCTGACTGACTCGTACTGAAATATGAATTGTAGTGCCAAAAAAACTACATTTCCCAGATTCCCTTGCAGCCCAGGAGAATAAGCAATTGGAAGATTTAAATAGACCAGGCCAGAAGCAACCAACCTTTGGCACGAAGCTTTTCCCTCCTCTTCTTCCAATCTATTGGCTGTTTAACCTTTTTCTCAGGCACTGGAGTGGCTGCCAAGCCTGGCATTAATTTTCCTTCCAAGCTTGCTAGGCCCACGAAGTAAACAGCCATGTGCATTCCTTACTCTATATTTAACAGCTGCGGTCCGTGCTGGGGGCAACTGCAACAGAGGGGAACCTTTGTAGCTTCCCAAATTCACGGCTCCCGAGGGGGGGGGAGGGGGAAGCTTTCCGCAGGGAGAAGAGGGATTTCTCTCCTTCCCGGCGTTTGCAAAGCAGGTTGCGTTAAAGAGAGGCTGCAATGCCAGCATCCCAGCCGCGGTCCAGGGCACGGGACAGGAACAACGTCCTCAACAGGGCTGAGTTCCTCTCCCTGAATCAGCCCTTGAAGGGGAACCAGGAGGGCAGGAGCTCCGGCAGAAAGCAGAGCGGCCAGGCGGGGCCGGCCGGCGCCCCGAACAGCAGCCCCAAGGAGCGGAGGCAGTCGCAGCAGCTGCCCGAAGAGGACTGCATGCAGCTCAACCCTTCCTTCAAAGGAATTGCCTTCAACTCCTTGCTGGCCATCGATATCTGCATGTCCAAGAGGCTGGGAGTGTGTGCCAACAGAGCCTCCTCCTGGGGTGGTGCTCGCTCCATGATTAACCTCCTGGGGATAACAGGGCATGGGATCCCCTGGATCGCGGGTACCCTCATCTGCCTGGTGAAGAGCAGCACGCTGGCAGGCCAGGAGGGCCTCATGAACCTGCTGCTAGGTGAGTGGCAAACCTCCCTCCCCGCTGGGAAAGCCCAGCCCTGGTCACAAGGGACAGCAGCACCAGGACTCCTCCTCTGACCGCTCCCAGCCACCGATGTGGTTGGGAAGCAGGGAATGACCTTTAGGGTGGGATGCTGCACTTATTGGCCATCTCGGTCCTCGGTGCCATGGGTGATGGATGTATGAACCTGCTGCTAGGTGAGTGGCAAACCTCCCTCCCCGCTGGGAAAGCCCAGCCCTGGTCACAAGGGACAGCAGCACCAGGACTCCTCCTCTGACCGCTCCCAGCCACCGATGTGGTTGGGAAGCAGGGAATGACCTTTAGGGTGGGATGCTGCACTTATTGGCCATCTCGGTCCTCGGTGCCATGGGTGATGGATGTAGCAAAAAGTTGTCTGAGAGAGGTGGAGTAATCCTGGTAGCTGGTGACACCCACGGAGTAGGGGCAGGTCCCCAGTCCCGCATAGGGAAGGGTTGTCCAGTCAGACCAAGGAAGTGTCTGTGATGTGCAGTTGGATACCAGCAGCGATGTCCTTTGATCTATGGTTGTCTGCCTTGGTGATTTGATAGATGGGGAAAACATATGAATTTTAATCTTTGATCTGTGGATCAGAGCCTGAACATATCCTTGAGAAAAAAAGATTTCCATCCCCTTGCCACCTTCTCTAGCAGACCCTGGCCCCATGTATGAGCCGCTGCGTGATGGAGTCCTGTCTCCTTCCCTTCCGCGGTTTGATCTCACATCCTTCTTCCCATGAGGACCTGTCTTGCTGCTGTCCCCATTTCCATGCCCTAGTTTGACCCAGAGGCCGTGCAGATGGGCTGGGATCTCTCTGACTGTCCTGCTAGTCCTTTCTTTGCAGTGGTTGGTGTCCTTGTTTTGGGAGGTTGAGATGTGTTAAAGGAGTTGTCTTCTGAGCTGAGCAGAGCCCATCCCACCCAATGTGGACCCATGTCCCACCAGTGACCAGGCTGAGCTCTAGGCATGATTTGCCTTAGCTCCTGGCCCCAACCCACCCTGGCCATGTCTACCTGAGGACCTTGCTCTTCTCTCTCTTCTGCCTTTGGCATGGGGCCCAGTTATTCTGTTTTCCCTTGTGAGCAGTTATGGGTCATCAGCCCAAGCGTTTCACCCTCTCCAAAAAAACAGTGATCAGAGCTCCTGCAATCGAATACATTGGATTTAGGCTTTTGCTTCTTGAGGAGTCTTTTAGGGGGACTTAGGGACATTTTATTTCAGAGGCACCTCAGGAAAGGGATGTCCTGTCTGCAGGGGCTGACCATGATGCAATACGGGTTCTGCATCACAGTCCCAGGTTTTTTTTTGCAACTTCATCCTTTGGAGAGGGCAAAGATTGCACCAGACTAGCTTGAAAAGCACAGTGGTAGCTGCCTTTCCTCCCCTCTGCCTTTGAAAGAGACTGTCCTCGTGCTGTGACATCTAATGAAGGGAGGCCATCGTGGGGAAGAAGCCAGAATGGCGTCAGCATGATGCAGAGCCCGCCGACGTCAGCAGTTCTTCCAGGGGCTCCTTGGTGCGCTGGGTCAACCTCTCCCTGAGAAAAGAAGCTCCATGTAAAAGGGCACGAGAATGAAATAGTAGGTGACTCACATCAAGCGGCACAGTTTCAAGATGGCTCTTGACCCGAGAGCCTTTGACAGTTTTGGAGCCTGAAAACTGACCTCTCTGACTCCAAAACATTTGCGATCCTTATAAAGAGCTAATGCCATCTTTGGCTTAAAAACAAGAAAGGTTTTCTCGTTCTTCTGTTGCCATGTGAGGAGGCCAAATGCAAAGCCATCTCCAGGTCACGTTAAAACTTATCAGCTGGTCACTGGGAGGGCTCAGCCCTGCACCACTACCTCCACCTCCAGGTCTCCTGAGCTCAAATGTGGTGCCTGCGGACAACTTGAGCGATTTATGAAGTCTTGCTTCCTCACCTAGACACACTACTCTCATCCCTCTCCTCCACCTACCTAGAAAGAAAATAGTTAAATTGTGTGGAGGACTAGTTCACCACATGACTTGACAGCTCCGTAGCTCTGGTAGCCTCCAAAGGACTTCGCTTTGCCCTCCAACTAGACAACACTGACTGGTGGGACTGGCCAAGGTGCCTGAGCCTCTCTTGTCAGAGCTGCCCCAGCAGCACTTGTGTGACCCCTCAGAACAGATCTCATCTGTGAGCGTGGCCTTGGTCTGCAGTCAGGAATGTGGCTCCTGCCGTTAACACCTGCATTGCTGGTGGAGGAAAGGGTCTGGCCGGGAGCATGGGGCTGGTGGACCTTGACAGATCCCATGAGAAGTGGAGTCTCATGAGTAAATGGGAAGGGTATGGCATGACTGCTGCATCTGGCATCCTTGATCCCTCTTGCTGCTGTTTTCCTGTGGATCAAATCCATCAGGATGTGGTGTAAAGCACTCCTGGATGGGAACAGGACAAAGGGAAGGGAACCTCCTGGTGCTTCTCTGGTCTCCTGGGAAGAGGGAAGCCGGGAAGTCGGGGTTGTCTATGGTACCCCTTCCTTACCTCCCCTGGCTCTCCTCCCTTCCCCCTGCTTGCTGAGAGTTTGATATATCAAGCAGAATTTCTGATGCAGTCTCTGGGCAGGGAGCCAGCCCATCATAGAGCACTTGTTTAGGATTTGCAATCAGGCTTTCAAGGCGAGGAGACAGGAGACTGCTGAAATGGGACCGGGAACCTGGCAGAAGCACCACTGCAGATGGAGGGGGGGCACTTGCGCCTGAGGAGCTCTTGGCAGGAGCTTTGCCAACACATGCGGGAGCATTTAGGGTGAGGAGGTCTGACCCTGGGATGCTCCATCCATCCCAGCTGCAGATGTTGATTAGCAACCCCAAGCAATGTTTTCCCTCCATGTTTGTCATCTGTGATGGAATTTATTGATTCTCCCCATCGTAGTCTTTTTCCAGTGAATGCCAACCAGCCAGAGAAGCACGCTCACAGCCTGTTACTGAAAAGATGGAAGCAATCAGATATCTGTGCCCACTGTAAAAATCCCTCTGCCAGAATGTGCTTTCAGGAAGACTATATCAGCATTGCCAGCCTTGGCTGTTGAAGAGTCAGGAAGAAAGTCTGCACCCCCTGGCCAAACTGAAAAATTCATAACTCAGGAAACACCCCCCCAGTTTTAGAGTTCATTTTATTCATCTGCCAGTGTTGGAACTTTTAGGACTGTTCAAGCTTTTCTCTGCAATCACAAGGATTTCATGAAAACTGAGATGCTTAGAAAATCGTTTGAACCTTGAAATCCGGCTTTTTGGGGGGAAACAGGTGTATAACTTTCACTAAAATCCCCAGATCTGCTCCAGAACCAGACAGAAACTCCATTAAGCCCTGGGGGGAGCAGCACCTCGGTTTCTGGTTCTGATCCATCTGGTGAGGATGGGGATCCAAATTTAGTGATTCATTGACTGCAAAGCCAGCAAAGAACATTTGGATCATCGATCTAACCCACAGCAAAATACAGGCTGTAGCACATCCCTTAATTTATTCGTGTTCAATTTGTTAAGGGAAAAAACCCAAACACTCAATCTGATGCACAATTACGAGCGAGGGTGAACTTGTCACAACCGTTTCTATATCACTGCAGTGGTAGGTATCCTCACAAGCGCTTGCTTTTAGTTTGACTCTCCTCTTCCCCCCATTAGCATCTGCATGCTCTCATCTCTTCAGCTGAACAGCTCTTTTAGCCAACATCTCTTCTGCCTTTCAATATTTTGGATAGTGCTCAAGTCATTTCTTCACCTCCTATTTATTAAGCTAAACAGATTGATCTCGTTAGACTGATAGTCTTTCCAGGTCCAGGCACCTTCTCAGTGTGATGGGGATGGAGTATGGTCATCTATCCAAAGTGATCGCCCTGGTGAAGTCCACCTATTGTGTTTAGAGCCAAATCTCCACCTGATGCAGAGAACCATGTTTAGTTCACTGCAGTCCAGCTGCATGTTGGGTGATATCTGCTTGGTTAACCCTTGCACATAAAACAGGTGTTTGTGCTCGGTTTGAAGTACCAGCTGTTAATTGGTTCTGCTTTGGTCGTGGCTTTCTAACATAGATATTCAGACTAGGAGAAGAGAAAGCCCTGGTCTCCTTTTTGCCTGCTGTGTCCTCTGTGTCCAGCTGCTGTCTCAGTGACATAGGTCCCAGTCCTCATCCATCACCAGCTGGCTCTGCATCCCGCTTCTGAGGGGTGGGTCGGCTCTTTGGTGCTGTCACTAAGCATTTATCGCCATCGCGTAAAGCAGTGCTGCAGGCTGTGGATGTATCACAGCGAGCAGCGTGGCAGGCTGAGGATGGGTGGCTTGGCACACGAGGAGGAAAGGAGGGGAGCCCAGGGTCACTTCTCCACTCCTGAAGGTCAGCAAGAAGGCAGTTCTTGCTCTCTCTAACCTTCTCCCTGACTACTGACCCAGCTTTAGGCTGACCGGGAACCACGCTGTGATACTCTGAGGCATAGTCCCCTGCGGACCTGTGACTTTATCCTGAGCCATATATGAATTTATTTAAAAATATACATATTTATAAATACATATGTATGTCCAGGGCTTTGCAGTCGTGCCCTGGTAGCTTCCAAGCAAGACCAAATTGGCAGGAAAGTGGTGGTTTAGGAAGGAAAGAGAGCGAGAAATGGACTTCACCAGGCCCCTTGAGACCCCTCGAAATTTGGAGGTGCTTCAGGTATTGTCGTGCTTCTCTTTGGAGTCTGTGTGGTGCAAATTCAGCCAGTACAGCCCGCTGCTGGTAAAGGTCACCGAGCAGATTAAATGCCCAGGCAGTGCAGACAAGCTCGTCCTGTCGAGCCCCAGGGCTCGGCAGCCCAGACCCAGCAGAGAGGCTGGAGAGCTGTGCAGCAGATGGATCAGTCGGTATGCAGCAGAGCTTGCTAAGCCGAGAGCCCCAGAGGTGGTTTAAGGCCAGATGTGTCTGTTCTTTCCCTTTCATTTTCCCACTGTGAGGCTGGGGATTTTCTGAGCTGGAC